CTCTCTCTCTCTCTCCTTCACCTTGTCGATGAGAAATGCCAAGGTGGAATTGTGTGACTCTGCTGAAGTAGATGCATGATCTACAGGGCAATTACGGGGGTATGTGGCACACACACGCTCTCTCTCTCCTTCATCTTGTCAATGCGAAATGCAAAGGTCGAATTGCTTGACTCTGCTGAAGTAGATGCCCTGATCTACAGGGCAATTACGGGGTGATGTGTTCCAGATACGAAGGGGGATATTTGGGTGCATGAACGTGCGTCTGAATAATTTTCCAGAGTTGCCTTTTTTCCAAGAAATCTGAATAGTCTCAAGAAGCAGAAGTGTGCTGGCTAGAAGAGGGAGATGGCAGTGGTTTGCTACCATCTTGACCCGAATAGAACGCCTGGTCGTTATAGCGGTATTTGGGGTGACTTTCCGTCTAGATACAGAGACAATTACCGGGTGTTCTATTCGGGTGAAGAAGATGGTAGTCGTGAGCCACGAGAGGACGACTGTCTTATGCACTCTTGCAAAATGCATTAAACTGCTAGTCCCTTACGCCCCCAGCCCTGCAGAAAATGTTTCGTCGTTAACTCTGAAAACTTTGTGCTCGGGCCTACTGGACCACAATGGCTGGCAGCGCCAGCCAGGGAAAAAAAAAAAGTGCGCAGCTGGCGGTTTCGCAAAGCTTGGCGCGCAGTGGAGCGCCTGCAGGCCCGGGTGTACTAGTGGTTTATGTGGATGATATGACTTGACCTTAGCGCGGTTGTTCAGGTAGGTGCTGCACTCTTTCTTGTGGACTGCGGAGGTGGAATTGTGGAATTCTGTCCAAGCAGATGCACACTCCAGCAGGAGAGTCTATTGTCGTTTGTCTGGGTGCGCATCCGGTCTAACATGTCTGCCAAAGTCCCCTGAGTTCAGCCCTTTAGAAAAGGGGCGATGGCCTTGAGATCTTCAAACTGATCGGCCCTGGGTAAAGTCAGGGTACTTCCACTTATCTGATCCACTGGGAAGTGGAACTCATGTCTGTATTTCAACAGTTCATGGGTGTACCAACTGAGCTAGGCCAGTCAGCATAAGTTTTCCCAGTTTCCATTTTTAAAAAAACCTCAAGAATCCCAACGATCAGTACGTTTGGTAGAAGAGCGAAATGTGGCACCGATGTGCCTCTCATGAGCCACTAGACAGTGACTGTCTATGCACTTTCCTGTTTCATCAAATGCGTTCCACTTGATGACCTTGATTATCGATAAATTAGGCCCTGTACGTTGGCCTCGTTATCTTTCCTTGCAGCCCTCATGTTTTTTTTGCTATTGTCTTCTCGGTGTGTTAATCTCCACGGGGCATAACAGTGGAGCGTCGGGGAAAGAAGAGGTGGTGGGGAGCTGGGACTGCAATGGCAGGGGGCGGGGGAGGAAGAGAAGGACCTGGGGGATCAAGTGGATTTTAGCAGTGGAGGGTCGGAGGAAGAAGAGGAAAGTTGGGGTGCAAGGTGAGCGATGGGATGGGAAGGAAAAGACGCAGTGTGGGTCGAGGCGGAAGAAGAGGGAGTGGCTTGCCTCTGGGAGGAGGAAGACAAAGAGTTAGGTTGGGGAGGTGCACAAAGGGAATGACACATGTAAGGGAAGGGTTCACATGATGGCCAAGAACTGGCATGTTGGAGACTCTCTATGGCATTGTTTCTGTTAACCATGTTGGTGATTCTCTATGGCATTGTCACAGAACTGTGTTGCCGCTGGTTCTTTCTTTCTGGTGTGGACTGCTGCGTCGCGATTTGCAGGGGGATGTTACAGAGCTAGCAGATTTAGACATGCAAGGGTATCCTGCTGCGGTAGTGGAGGATTGCATGCAGACCATGGCCAATTACTTTGATTTCAAACAATTGCGCCATATCCAAAGTTCATACAAGGGGAACGGAGACAATGGAGAAAATGAAGGTGAAAACGAGACTGGTGGGGTTCGGCTCGAGCGTCCATCCTGGTTGCCTCCGGAAGTTATTGACAGTAAGACATGCGTCTCCAATAGAGGTGTACTTATGGTGGATGTTGATCAGTGGATCGGACAGAACATCACTGCTGCTATTGAGTGGTGGATTGCCCAGTTTAATGTGTCAGCCGCTGATCGCCCTCTCTACAGGTAACTTGCAACAGTAATCTTTCATTCTTGCACTTCGCGAGTTCTTTTAGCCTCTCTCTCTCTCTGTCTCTCTGTCTCTCTGTCTCTCT